GGGCAAGCTCCCGGGAGCCGCCAGCCTGGTCCCGGGAAGAGGGGGAGGGTTGGGGGCATCGGGTGGCTGGCTCATGGCGTGCCAGGTGCAGGGTCTGCTAGCTGGATGCTGGCAGGCTTGCACCTGGCATGGGCACTGTAGCCAGCCCGTGCTCCTTTAAGGGGTCCGGGGCCGGGAGGGGGGCAATAGAGTTTCCCTGGTGTTGGCCAGAGTGGCCACCAAGGCAAGCTGGGGAGGGCTAGCCTCCCACTAGTTCGAATTAAGGGGCTACACACCCCTTAATTCAAACTAGTAAGTTCGAACTAGGCTTAGTCCTCGTGAAATGAGGTTTACCTAGTTCGAACTAAGCGCTCTGTTAGTTCGAATTAAGTTCGAACTAGCGGAGCACTAGTGTAGCGCCTATGAAAGTTAATTCGAACTAACATCCGTTAGTTCGAATTAACTTTGTAGTGTAGACATACCCCCAGAGTGTTTTACTGCAGGGCTAAGAAAATGCTTTGGTGGGTAAAAATTGATTCTTGTTTGGTAGAAATAAATCAGCCTGAGCCATGATACCTGAAAAACAGTAACAGTATCTGAAACATTTAAATGGTTGTCCACGACACCTTTACATACTGTTGCTTCAACATGAGAAGGTGCGTTAATGGGGGGAAAAAAACCAACCCAACCTTACAGCTGGGTGATAATCGCTCTAAGGCCTATTCTATAGCCCACAGAAATTAATGGACCATGTCCTACTGATTACAGTGAGCATTGATTGAATCAGGCCCCAAAAGAAGAATTGTAAGTAGAAAGTACTTGTAACAAAACATTTTCCCATCAGTGTCTGACATAAGATTGTAGATGATACAATAAGGTGTTGAGATAAAGTAGATAGTCTTAGGGTTGGATTCAGTGTTTTTAATGTTAATCTAGAGCTTTAAGTTGTTGAGACGTCACCCTTGCTTCCCATTTCACAGGATTAAATCAGGTCAATAAGACCCGAGATGTGCAGGCAATGACTTAGTATTCTCATCTTTAAATTAAATAATGTTTTAGACAGAAAACATGGCCAAGGTTTTTAAATAGCAAATGATGCAATTTTTAAGAAAAAAACGAAACTGCTTATTTATTCAATGTCTGTGATTAATAGCATTATTATCTCTCTTTGGTTTTGTAGTCCTGGAGTTTGATCTTAAGACAGGGTTTGATCCTGCAAACAGTTACCAGTGTAATGGGATTAATTACATGAGAAATTGTTCATGTTGAGTAAACTTTTACAGCAGGGATCAGCAAAAGGGCCTCCGTGCGCTGTGTACTCCTAGCAGGGCAGAAGAAGGCTCCCCCACTACCAGGCCCTAAGTCTCCTCCTATGCCAGAGGCATGGGCCCCTTGGGGGAATGTGGGGTGGGGGCAAAGGCACTCCCTCACCAGTGATTGGTCTGGGGGTGGAGAACCCGAAAATATCTTGGTCATGCTCCTTCTGCTCGATGCCCTTCCGCTTGATGCCCCGCCCCTTCCTGTGCGGCTCAGGGCCACTTAAAATATTTCTGAAATGACCCCTGGCAAAAAATTATTGCCCACCTCTGTTTTACAGGTTCGAGTCCATAGTTTTGTTCCCTGAATTTGAATGTAAAGTCATTTGAGCACAGTTCTGCTTGTAAAAATCAACACTTGTACAAAATAGTCGAGCATCTAAGTCACAGTTTTAAAATGCTGATTTTGGGTGCCACAGGGTTGGGGTGCCCAGTTCCAGAGATACTATTAATCCACATTATTTGACAGCAGTGGGAACTGCCAGTCAGTGTCATCTCTGAAAATCAGGCTCTAGGTCCCAAATTGGAAACCCAAAATTAGTGGTTATTTTTTAGGTTGTTTTTCTAAAGTGTAGGCCTTCTCGAATATTAATATTCATTTTATTCACATGCCACAAAAGAGATCATCTGGTTTATATTGTATCTGTTTGTTTCCCCTTACAGGTCTCTTGATACAATACTGAGTGATGCTGTACAAGGCTTGTCTGTCCTTGATTCTCACTTAGTCGAAGTGGAAGGAGACACTCTTTACTTGTATGGTTCTGGAGCTCTGGAATCTCTGGATCGAAACTGGAGTGTACAGACAGCTGGGACTGTCACCACAGTCTCTTTTATGTTCATAGAATTTGATGAAATTGTTCAAGTGCTGCCAAAATTGAAAAACAGATTTCCTAATTCTGCGGTAAGATGTTTTCTCTGAAAAGAGCAATCTGAATAGCTACAGAATATTTGGATAATCTTTATTAACACCTTATTTTGGTAAAGTAACATTTAGTCTTCATCTCATTATCACGTATGTATATGAATCTGAGTTATTTATATAACTCTTCAGCTTTGTTTATATTGTACTTTTGACTTGATAAGGCCTTCTTGATTGAGGAAGATTCTTTAAGAAGAATTGTAAGAGGGAATTGAGGGATTCTGCTTAGGTGGGTAATTTATTTCTGATGCAAACTTTTTTGGCCCTTCATAAAATAGAAAAAGGTTGCTAAATTGAGAGATGGAAATATACTTTGATGTTGTTGAGCCAAGATTTCCATGTTTCAAGAATTATTTATGAATCAAGGTGAGGGTTTGAGCAACTGGAGACAGAAGTTAGAAGTGGTGCTGGTTAAGCAAAGAACTCTCTGGAGTTCAGAGAACAATAACAAGCAAATGTGCAGTCTCTGACCACATTACCTTGAGGCAATGTGGGTCTGTAAACTCCCTATAAATAACATAAAACTAGCTAGAACAGTATAAACAGGATGTCTCATATACCTTCCTAGCTCTTTGTCTTGTTTTCTGGTCAGCATACTTCTGTCTGTCCTTATAAAGATACCCCATGGTTTTGTTTTGTTTTTTAAATAAGGTTATGAGTTTAAATGTGTCCGCTGAGGTAATTATTTCCAGTGCTGACCTCAGAATCCAGGTTTTAAACCGCCCAAACCTCATTCTGGTATCTGGCTCATCATAGACTGCTTCTAGGAGTGTTAGTGAAATAGTGTTGGAAGGAGCAACAGAAAGGAGCGAGCCCATGACTTGTGCAGCTGGTACAACCAGAAAGTAATCAGACTGCATATGCAAAATATGGCTTGCTTCTTTCATTGCTTACAATGGAGATTAGGGATGTTAGTGACTAGTCAACTAACTGATAAGAAGAAGCTTATCGGTTAGCACTATCGACTAGTCGCATGCCCCCAGCTGCCGCTCTGCATTCTACAGCACAGGGAAGCCGGTGCACAGAGATGCTGGGTCAGTCCCTGCTCCGCAGGTCTCTTATCACTGAGCATACAACCCTCTCCCTGTCCAGCTGCCACTCTGGTTTTTACAGCACAGGGAAGGCGGCTCACAGAGACATGGAGTCAGTCCCTACTCAATGCGTCTTTTAATAAGAGACTTCCCTGTGCTGTAAAATGTAGAGCAGCAGCTAGGGAGGTTATGCTGAGAACCAGCGTGAGCCAGACTGCACACTGGAACTGCCTTCCCTTATCGACTAATCAAGTAGTCAATAGATTTTTTTTATGGACTACTTGATTAGTAAATTAATCACATTTTAACATCCCCAGTGGAGCTATATCACACTCCTTTCTTTCGATACAAATTTTAAACAAATCTTGTTGAAACAGCACTTCTGTAGCGGAATGTGGTGTTTTGCCCCTTTTATTGCTAATGACCCAAGAAATCGCATGATGGCATAATGAATATGCATGATTAAACCAGTGATTAATCTGAAGATTTGGGTACTATAGACGTGTAACTTAATCAAAACAATTAATGCAAAGTGTCTGTCTTAAGTGAGCATGACAATTATACATACTTGAAAAATTGAAGTTTTCAGAAAGGTGTAACTATGCGTACCAGTTAATGCCTACTGTATTTTTACATACTTTAGTACACCCTTGATGAATTTTCATATTTTTTATAAAGGTAGAGTGCGCTTATTTTTTCAAGGGAAGACGAGTTTAAGTGCAAAGCTTTTCCCACTCAGAGACCATCAGCGGTCCGTATCGGTGAGATCTCTTATTTTATTTTCCAGTGTTTATTTTGATTTCGTGCATACAAAAAGGAGAAGGCTTCTTTTTAAAGTGGGACTGCTTCATTTGCCATTTTGTTCTGAAGAGGTATTAAAAGCTCTACATCACAAGTGATTGCATTTGCTCAGATGGACCTAAAGCTAGTTAGCCATGTATGAGGAGAATTGAAGTTGCATGGAAGGAACTGAGCTAAACTGAACTTGATGTCTATAGCATAGGTGTGTTGCCCTGTTATGTGTCTTCCTCAGTGAATTTAACATAGTTCATGTCTGGTTTTTTTGCTTTTTGCTTTTTTTTGTTTTTGTGTGTTATAGCATCTGAAGTTTAAGGAGACAAATATTCTCATGTTGCAGCAGTTTAATGCATTAGCACAGTTGCGTCGCATTGAACAGTTGACTGTTGACCCTCAGGGAAATCCAGTTGTTCACTTTACTCTGTGGAAATACTATGTTCTGTTTAGACTGAACCATTTTAACCTGCAAAAGATAAATGGAAGTGAGGTAAGAGAAAGTCATATTTCTTTAAGACTGCAAAGAGTGCTTCCCTCTCAAAAATATTCCTATGAAATGAATGCTTATTAATGTAAAAAACAGATTCTTGTTTCATACATTTTTATATTGGCTACATAGTCATCAAATTAATAGAGCCACTCAATTTATTCTTGTGCAAAAGTAAAAGAGCTATACATATGCTTCCTCATACAATTTTCTTTGTTCTTAATTGCACAAATTTAATCTGTTGTTTTTAGTTATGTAGCCCCAGAAAATAGTGTTGCTATAAGCTCTTGGTAATTGCAAAAGACAATTCAATCCAGTTCATGAGCTATAAGAGTACATGTAATAAAGGAATGCAAGTCAATGTATTATGTTTATTTGTATTTTTTTAAAACGTGTAAAGAGTTCATACACTTCAGCTCTTTAGTTTCTTGTAACAAGCTTTTCTCTGATTTGTTATAATATATTTGAAAGGAATTTAAATATTGCACTGGAATTTAAAGATTGGAGAGTGTGTGTGTGTGTGTGTGTGTGTGTGTGCGCGCGCGCGTGTGCATGCGTGCGTACGTAACAGCTTGTGTTAGTGTAGCACATTATTATTTATAAAGTATTTTTAATTTCAGGTGCAGCATATATGTGAAATCTCAAACAGAACCCTTGATTTTTTTTACCTCTTACACAAAGTCATTAATTGTTTTAAAGTGAAAAGGAGTACATTAATACTGGTATACACCTACACTATGTGGAAAACTACATCTTATCTGTATAAATGTATACCCCTGTCCTCAAATTCAACTTAGGGCTCAATCAGGCAAGGTGCTGATAATTATAGTCCTGGTACAATACTTAAATACGTACTTAAATTTAAAAATGAGATTAGTCAGGTGCTTGACAGTTAAGTATATGCTGAAGTATTTTGTGGGATAATGGCCAGGATACTCAAAACCTTTCAGGACTGAATCTTCACTTTGCATTTGTGTTTGTTATATTAGTGGTTTTTCCCCACCTATCACTTGATAATTGCTGAGGGTATCAGTATCCCAGTTAATGATCTTTCCAAATGTACAAAAGCTTCAGAGGAGTAGCTGAGTTAGTCTGTAACAGGAAAAACTCAGCTATCCCTCTGAAGCTTATCTACTCACTGTCTCTTTTTTTCTTCCTCTACCCCCGCCCCCCTTCCTCCTTCCCTTATTTTTTCATGGATCTGGACTTTCAACACTCCTGTCATCTGAAGAAGTGGGCTGTGCCCACGAAAGTTCATGATACCATCTACATTTTTTTGTTAGTCTTTAAGGTGCCACTAGACTATTTTTTATTTTTTAAATTTTTCCAAATGTTGTTTGTACTGTTAGCTAACTATTGTAAAATACTTTGGATAAAGTCGCCATATTAAAAACCCTTAAAAATAATTGAAGTATTGTGTTCTACAAATAAAAGCACACAATTCATATTTTAATATCCATAGGGACTCTTTCCACAGCAACCACAGAGCTGAGGCTGGTAAGAAGGGTGGTCTCTCTCTAGCAGCTACAGTCTTGTTTCTGGGGAAGGTCGCCTCTTTCTCTGGCCTCCAGAGCCCTGCATGTTCCAAATTCCTCCCACCCCCAGCTTTAAAGTTGGGATTTTTAAGACTGAATATGACTTTTAAAAAAAAATTTCAATATATATTTTGATGACAGATTTCAAAGGTAGCCATGTTAGTCTGTTTCGGCAAAAATAACAAGGAGTCCAGTGACAATTTAAAAACTAACAACTTTATTATGGCATAAGCTTTTGTGAGTTTCAACTTGCTTCATCAGATGCATGAAATGAAAGAAAATGAAACAGATAGTAGGGGTAAGAGATGGGAATGTTACATCAGAGCTAATTTAATCAGGGTGGATGTGGATAAGAGGGTGAGAATACCTAACGTGGAAACTGACCTATGATAATGAGGGAGCCATTCCCAATCTCTATTCAGATCTGTTCCAATGGTGTCCAGTTTGCATATGAATTCAAGCTCATCCATTTCATGTTGCAGTTTGGTCTTGAAGTCTTTTTGCTGGAGGATGACAACTTTCAAGTCTGTAACTATATCTGTTTCAAGTCTGTGATTCAAGAACAGTAATATACAAAAATCAGTGGGGAAGCACTTTAATCTCTGTGGACCCACAGTTACAGACTTGAAAGCTGCCATTCTTAAGCAAAAAAAATTCAAGACCAGACTGCAGTAGAAAACTGCTTAGCTGGAATTCATATGCAAATTTGACACCCTCAGAATGGGTCTGATTAGAGATTGGAAATGGCTCACTCATTTTGATCTGAGGAAGTGGGTTTGGCCCACGAAAGCTCATCATCTAATAAACCATCTTGTTAGTCTTTAAAGTGCTACATAGTCCTTCATTTTGCTTCATTACCACAAGTAATTTTTCTGTAGCTATTTTCACCTTCTTGTCCACAGCCACTCTGATTGAATTAGCTCTGTTGCAACACTCTTGTATCTATAACCCTTTTATCTGTTTCTTTTTCTTTCCCTTCATGAGTCTGATGAAATGAGTTACATCTCACAAAAGCTTATGCCATAATAAAATTATTCGCCTTTAAGGTGCCACTGGATTCCTTGCTGTTTTAAATTTATACTATGTATGTCTTTTGTTGTAAATCACACAATAACTGCACCATTTAAAATACAAACAAGGTTTTAGATTTTAGTGAGTTCTTTAGCCTGCAACTACAAGAAAATAGAAAATAAATCCTCTCTGTTTATCCCACACCTCATTAGAAAAAATCCAAGAACTTGGGCCTTTCAGTATGCTGTCAACAAATTTTGAAAAGAAAACATGAAACTTATCTGGGAGCCAAACGTACACTTAAGAAAAAAGCTGTGTGCAAACTAATGCCAACTCCCCTAACAGTCTCTACTCCTAGGACTCAATCCTCTTTTAATGTGGTTGCACAAGTGTTAATTTCCTAATCCAGACAAACCCATGGACTACATGATTCATCTGAAGAAGTGGGTTGTACCCACAAATGTTCATTGTACCATATATATGTTTTGTTAGTCTTTAAGGTGTTGCTAGATTATTCATTGCTTTTTAAGTTACAGACTAACTCCGCTACCCCTCTGAAACTGTGGACTACATAACCGAGAAGTGCACATTTAATTAGTGGAACTTTACAAAATGTTTAGCAGCAAAGATTTAGTTTCCATATGACAGTGTAGATTCATTGAGTATTGTATGCATATTCTCTTGACATATTATACATCAACAAGGAGCACTGATAATGCATCTGAGCTTCCCTAAGTGCTGTTACTATTACAGCCTTTTATTTCACTCAACATTAGCATTCTTATTTAACATTCGTATATTTTACAGTAGCATAATACAATGCAGAGAAAGAAGACATTAGACAAGGGGAATGTTTGATTTTTTTCACTTTTATTTATATGTCTTATGTATGGTGAGAATCATTACAGAGCTTGGCAGAGAAACTTGAGCTTTGAACACACGTTTAAATACATGGTGTCATTTCAGTAACAGTTTGAAATTATTTTAAAGACACATCTTTAACTTTATGCTGGAGCAACAGTATAGTTTCTGGGGAAGAATTAATCTTACTGGACTGGGAATGGCCAGCCAGTTAGCCCTTACAGAAAAAAGAAATCTTTCTTTAAAGACTGCCCCATAGAGTTACCACAGAGAGACCATGGCTTACTTTTTCATCATTTAAGTATTTAGAGGCCTTTCATGTCTGCATCACAATTTGATAAGAAACTTTTCCAATATTTCTCCGTAAGTTTATGCAACATAGTAAAGAATTAACCTGTGTGGGCTTCCACTCAGGGTGGAAGAAAGGGCCATTTCATGAGCAGTATAATGAAACATGGAATAATATATTGTATGCATTAAAGTTTCCCAAGTTGACAGAAAATAATAAGTAAAATAAGCAAAAGTAATGTGTGTGATTGCTCTTTGAATATATTGAAGATGCCAATAAAAATAAATCTAAGTTTCGAAAAAGTCATACAGATACATTCTTTCCTTTTTTTAAAATATTCCTGGAATATCTCTGGTATGTAGTGTTTTATAGCACATATTTTAACTGTTTTGATTTATGCTGGTCATTTCTGGACATGATCAAATTTTATTATTTGTGAGTTTTCCATTCCTATTTTTTCACAGGTTACTCAGAATGATACAATAATGGCTGAAAGGCTCTTTGGCATTCTTGCATTTGTGGCATCTTCTGAATTGCCCCAATATCGCCTGCTTTCACTACTTGGAGAATCCAGGTAAAAGTTATTTTATATGTGTTAAGAAAGAATACTTACAGTTCTTTCAAAATGAAACTTTTTGATACAATGAAGTAGTTATTAAAGAAAACACATAAAAAGCTCAATTTACAAATTGATTTATGCAATGAACTTATAGGATGATAAAGAAAATAATCACAGAGAGAAATTTTACTTTACATTTCAGCAGCTCATAGTGTCAAAGATCCTGTACTATAAGTGTGAATTAGAAATTTTTAGCATCAACTGCCTTTTTTTCAGATCACCACTAGTTCATTACACGAACAATCAGGCTGTTTGGGTATTATATTAACATTATAAAGAAGAGCAAAAGTAGCTTTCATACTGGCTTGTATAAGGTTGTCGCATCTCAAGCACACCTTGTCCTGAGGCAGTGTGGCCCAATGACCACCATCTATAACAGAGCCCTGAAGTATAGGGCAGCCCAGCCTAATGGCTGGAGTCAGTAGTTGGGGACAACAGCCCTGGTAGCAGGGCCCGAGCCCAGCCTAGTCCACCGGGCCTTGACTTGTTCAACGGGGAATATAACTGCAACATGCTGAGCTCATTCAGGTGGGAAATATCATTCCTGCACCCTCCCTGGGTCACTTCCTACCAGAATTAACATGGGTATGCTCCATACGGTCTCTGGGTCCTCTGGTTCCATAGCACCAGTGTCTTGGGCTCCTGTTGGCCAGGTCTCTGGGTGTGGTATCTCTGGAGCTTCTGCCGGAGGTCCTTCTCCTCCACTGTCCTGCCCCAACTGAGCTGAGCTGCTCCCTTTTAGACTGCTCTAGCCCTTGCAGCATGCCCAGCGAGGCTGATGGGTAGGACTTCTTCCTCCCACAGGGCATTAAGCCCTCTTGGCGCAGTGCATAGTAAACACACACCGTCACACAGGCCAGGTTTGATCTTTCTTTCTTTTACAGGTTATAAGAACTGTTCATAGTTCTTCATTGGGTATCACGCAAGATTAATTGGCTAAGGACATTTAATGAATGCAACTCAGCAGGTGCAGCTCCAGAGTACCTACTCTGGTCTGAACTCACTTTGCTTGAGTCTCAGAGCTGGGAGACTGCAGTGAGCCAACATCAGAATTAGTGCTCCAAAGCCTTCCCAGTTCTTATGTGGCAGGTGGAGACCAGATCTGAATAGAGAAAGAGATTTCTTGACTGCTTCCCTCTTACTCCAGAAAAGCCAATACTTGTATTTTCTTAATTCTTATTCCCTCCAGGCTAATGTGCTTTCTTCTGGTCCACTTCTATGTTATTTTGTTTATATTTCTGGAAATTAAAAAAAAATTATTTTAAAATGCTAAAATTGCCTGGGGCAAGAAACTGATGGCATGGTTGGAATATGCAGAGGACAGTGTGGAAAAGAAGAGAATGCAGGGAATGCCTGCTATGATCTGCTATCCTGAATTTTCCCCTTGGAATCCATGGAAATTCAGGGGTATAAGGCCTATTATTGTTTGAATCTTGACAGGGATACATCTCCTTAGGATATATATAAAGAAGAATTATTAATACTAGCTCAGGGCAACCAGTCCAACTAGTTTCACTCCACAGTGCTACTGTCCTGTAACCTCCTACATGTTTATAACATAATGGTGTTTCCTATGGTAAGCTCACATGGAGTCCTGCTCTCCCATGTATTGCTTGTGCCCCCAAAAGATCTGCCTTCATCCCTGTCCCCTACAACTCATTCATAACAGGTTGAACGTCTCTGGTCCGGCACAGACCACGAAGGTTGCTGGACCAGAGAGCCCCAGAAGGCCGGCAGCAGGGAATAGTTGGCCTTGGAGCCCCTGTAGCCTTGGGGCTAGCTGCAGAGACCTTGTGGCTTCAGGGGTGGCTGTGGCCCTGTGGGGAGGAGAGACTGGTGATCTGCTGACAAACCCCAGGAGAGCCCAGAGTCTTATGTCCCCAACCTGGCCGAGAGTTGTTGGCTTATGATACTGCCAAATATACATTGCTTATTTAAAGTATGAGAAATGCTTTGTTTTGGAAGGCAGATATTTTTATTTTTTTGTTTTATTTTGTTCCAGTTCTCCATAGCATTTCTGTCACAAGCAAGTTTACCGCCAATTGTTTTTTGAAGGTCTGTTCCATCTTGTGGTGTTGTTTTCACATTTACATGTTTTATAATTCTTTACAGTTTTATTGCTTCCTCTGAAGATCTGAAAATACTTAACAAACATTTATTAATCCTCACTAGAGGGCTGTAAAGGTAATGAAAACAGATAAGATACTACGAGCTCTCTAATGGTATATACAATATGGATTTTTTCACTCACTGCTAAAATGCAGCCTCCTAAACATCTGTTTAACAATATACAAGAATACTGGTTAGTTTCAGGACAGAAAGCAAAGCTAACCATATCCAGTTGAAACTTCAGGAGGGAGATGATGAAGGCAAAATATAAAAAACTAAGAAGAATTAGTCCAGAACTCATGAGCTAACATACTCTTCTGAAAATCTCTTCACAAGTAAAATGACAAATATTACACAAATCCTTCTTCTGTATAACATTACTAAAGAAAACATATTACATTGCAGAAATCTTGAGCACTTTCTTCTTCATTGACAATTAGTATATAGCCATACAAGTTGAACAGATATAACTTGTGTATTCATGTGCTGTTTATGTATATGCATTTCTGAGATAGGACATAGTCAAAGATGTACATACATGTAAGTTTACCATTTTGCTGATTCCAGTGTCATGTATTGGGCTGTACATATTGAGTTACATACTGGAGATACAGAAATCATTTTAATGGCTGTTTTATAGTTGAAATATGTGAGCATTCACAGTTTTGAGTTTGACATTGTAAAATAAAAAGTATTTAAAAGTTTGTGGAAAAGAAGCTTCAGTGGTACATCTAGATTTCTGTGGATATTTTTACTTTACTTTACCTTTCTTAAGTTGTGAGATTTGTTTTTCCATTTTGGAGATGTGTTATGGAATGTGTCTAATCAAGCATTTGTCTTAATAATCTGCAGTTGTTATGAAACAAAATAATGGTGGATATCTTTGGGACCTTCTGTATATCTCAAGGCCACAGGATGCAATAAACCAAAAACTCCTAAAGTCAGTGTTCAAAGGGAAAGTAAAAGGAAAGGGGGGTTCTGCATAAATGCATTAAAAAGCACTTGCACTTTATAACATCTCAGATAATTAAATCTGTAAATCTTTTTACGGTCTTGCTACAGGAAGAAACAATTCTGTTATCTGCTAGAGGCAAAGGGGAAGAAATCTGGTATTGTTAGTGAAGAAAGTAATGACAGCAGAAGAGTTGGAGGAGAAAATGCAAATCGAGCTGTACTGAATTATACCACAAAGGACTTTCAGACAGAAAAGTTTGAGGTAAATGGGTTAGTTTGAGGATCCTGTGAAAATCATATGCTCAGAAAATCCCACATTTTTTTGAGTGGCAGTTTTGATATATTTTATATGCCTGAGACAATGTTATTCACTTTCACCAACTGAAAGAATTTACAGAGTAATTCCAGACTTCCCTGGGACCAAATGACTAACGTCCGTCTTATAGCAATGTTGCCATGGAATATCTGCATGCAGGGACAATTAAAATAAACACATTTTTTAAGATAAAGTGTACAGACCAGTTTCTGCTTTCAAATGTGCTGGCTTGGCTCCCACTGACTTCAGCCCACTGACTTTTCAGCCAGCCTTCCTGCACCCCAAAGCCCTCAGTCCAGTTCAGTTCTACTCTGCTTGTGAGCACCCTCTCTACCTTCTGGACTTAAGCATATTTCGAGAAATTATCATTATACTGTCCTTGTAAATTATCCTTCTACTAGCCCTGTGTACAAAGATCACCCATGAAATTCTGTTGTATGTCAGTTTTAGTGGGTGTCTTTAGAGTGTTGGTTTTTACATATCTCTGTGTATTGTATTTATGTTTCTCCACCACATGATCAAACAGTTCAGCTTACCATGATAAAAAAAAGCAAATATACCAGACTGCAAAGCAGCCAGCACTGTTTTCCTTAGAAAAGGGTGTTACACCCATTCTGGAAACTTTTGTGGGTCACACATTTAGCATATAGGACTTGTACATAGAGTATCCAAGTGTAGCCTTGGATTTTCTCACCAATCTTTGGTGCCATTCAAGGTGAATTTATATAGTACCTAGAATAATGGAATATGATAGTATAAATCAGCACAGTTTTTATAAGGTTACAAAACATTTCTGTCACATGTTAGAATCCTGTAATTGAAACAGAAGATTTTAATACAGTGCTTCCCAAGAGACTGTTAGAGACCTATTGGTATATGGAAAGATGCATCTGGCATGATAAAGCAAGACTGAAGGCAACATTGATTAATAATAAATAATCATTTCTCAGCTTGGGAAAAGGTTATCAGATCAGTACAGGGGGTTAGTATTCTTCAGTGTAGAATCAAACCATGACAAAATTTGTTTAAATCTTGATAGAAAAAAATAAACTTAGTGCAGCCCAAATTTCAATTTAAAAAAATAACAGACTGTCTTGTTTCAACGGAGCACATCCTAGATTTGCTTTTCTGGCTATAAACCCCTGTCCTTAGGCAGAAGGAGAGAACATCTTTTCCCATCTCTTCCTTTTGAGGGGTCAGCCTTTAATAGCAGCTGCCTCCAGTCTCTACTGAGATACATTCTAGTGCCCACATTTGTCCCTTGCTTACTCCTCAGGTTTATGGAGTATATAAATCTCATCATAATGCTGGCAAGTAAATCAGTAGTACAAGTTGACCTCTCTAGTCCAGCCCTCTTGGGACTTGACAGGTGGCAAAACAGAATTTGCTGAATCATGGGAGGTTAATTATTGTCTAGCACAAGGGTGGATAATCTGTTTAACAGAGAGAGCCAAAACAGCGGCAAAGAGCCACACCAGAATTGTCAATCAAAAAAAATAAAATAAAAAGCCCCCCCCCCGAACAGAATTGTCAAGCAAAAAACAAATGTTTTTTTTTTAAAGGACGCCGCCCCTTTAAGACAGCCACCATCTTGGGTGCCATTTTTAAAACCCCGCACCTCTGACCCAGTAAGCACAGGGAAGCTGTGGGGGAGCCAGTGGAAGGCGGGGGTCACTTGGTGAGGGCGCAGGAGCATCTTCGCAAGCCACACTTTTGGGGGGCAAGAGCCACATGCACTCGTGAGCTGTGGGTTGGCCACAGCTGGTCTAGCAGCATTACCAACACTTCCACTACTTACTGGGCTCTTAGAAGACATTTAGAGGTAAATTAGAGCTAAATAACAGCACAAAACATTGAGCGAGGACTGGTGGCTGTAAATGAACTTTATGGGATTGTGGGAAACTTGGCCACACCCTGCTCACTAAAATCATTATGGGCCACAGATGTTGCTGGATCCAAAGAGTGCTGGATTAGAGAGGTTCAACCTGCACATACTCAATTTGACTATTGTGTTGAGTTTTGGTCATGTCATCTCAAAAAGGATATAGTATAGTGGCATAGTGGAAGAGATTAAAAATACCAAAGCTGTTTAGTCTTGAAAGGAGTAGTAGTGATGAATGGTAAAGGTTATTAAAATAATTAATCGTATAAACTAGTGAGACACTCCTGTTTGCACTTTACCAGAATCAGAGAATAGTAATAAAATAATGCTTTAGTGTACATGTGATTATGTAAAAAATATACATGTGTTTTTGTTACCAATAGTAATTCACACCTTGTCCTTCATTATGGTATTCCATATATGGCTGCCGATTTTACTGGTGGTCCCAAGGGAAAAGTAAGATAGGCAATAACTGCCAATTCCCGCTTCCCATTAACAATAAACTGACATAGTAAATGTGATCAAGGCAAACCTAATTACTGAAGCCAGTAGATTTATTGATTAATAAGTTTTCAAACTAAGCAGCTGGAAAACATTTACTTTCTTTTATCTCCCATAAAAATGTTCTGAGTTGTTTTCCTGGGCCAAGCTATGTCCTAATGTTTTTAACAATACTGTAAATCAGATGGATTATGCATTTAGCACCAGTATAACTATTCAAAGGACATCTTATGGCATTTTATGAAAATTCTCCATAAAAAGGAATTAGAATAATTGAAGAATGACTATAATATGGTGCCAGTAGTTACTGCAAATGTATTTTTTAGCATGAAGTTTCTAGAAGTTCAGATCATTTTTGTACAGTGCATACTGTATGTTCTACATAGGCTCGACAGAATTAAGTGTTGATTTTTTTTTTATAAATAAATCAGTGGAAATATTGATTATTTTAAGGATTTGTTTTAATTTTTATTTGCTTTTTCACAATTGAATGAAATTATACGTTAACATTTTTTCAGTTTTCTATTGATTAAAATTTTCATGGTTGTGGAAAGTTAGAGGGGGCCAGCTAATAATTTAATGACAAAGGCTGAGATTTAAAAAGTTGACATTTTATAACCATTAAAACATATTGTCAATATCACATTTCAAAATATAAACAGTAAATATCCTTAAATCAAACTCTAAGCAGCATTTTCTTATTTTGCTTCTCTCTAAATGCCTGTCAGCATCAGTGGAAAAGGTGAAATTGGCATTTACTCATAAAAATTTACTTGTACAGTATACACACATCAGGAAAAATATCAAAAGGTACATGAGTACTAGTTTATTTCTCCCTACTGTAGTTTACTTTGCCATTAGAAATGTTATGTGGGCAAACAGATATTTTCCTGTGTCAATGTACTTGCAGTACCTAGATTAAAAAAATAATCTACATTTGCATACTATGGATATCACTACTATCACCCACACCAACAAAAAAAATCCAATTTTGTTAGAGAAAGTTAGTATTAATTACTTCTAAATGGAATTTCAAATAAAAAAAATTGAGAGTGGTTAGTAAAATGGTTGTAAAGCTTGGTTCTATGGCCTTACTCATTAAACAAAACAAAAAGTCTGTACACATTGCAATTCATTTGTTACAGAAGAGCATGGAGGGTTCTGTTTTTGTGCAGATCCCTATTTTCTGTAGTGAAACAAAGTTCTTTTGACCCATTTTAATAAAACATTATTGTTATTTAGCCTTTTTTGTCATTTTTTTTTGTAATCTATAATGGTTCTTCTATCCAGGAAGTCAAGGAGAGAAAGAACTTTTGCCAGACATACATACAAGACTTAGTGAAAGAAGCTGCTGACATCAATATGAAAAATGAGTCTCTGCAGAAGCTATGGCCTCAGATGTTCATTGAGCTTGTCAGGGATGCAGTGATAGAAATACGCAATAAAAATTCCTACATGAAACTCTGCTTACAGC